CTCCAGAATAATGCAGGGAAGATAGGTGTAATGTGAAAGGGTATTTTGTATGGTCGCTATTGGATAATTGGGAATGGGCAGCAGGCTACTCATCTAGGTTTGGCCTCTATTTTGTGGACTACAAGAACAAGCTCAAGAGATATCCCAAAGACTCTGTGAAGTGGTTCAAAAATTTCTTAATGCCCAGTGGTTTAGAAGTTTCTTAACGTTCGCTTAAAGAAAATTTCAAGGTGTACCTTATTTCTTAATAAATTTAGTACTCTTTAAAATGTCAGATCCCTGTGAGCCATGGTGCCATCCTTTGAAATAAACAGTTCTGTAGCGATTGTACAGAGAATCACAGTTTATTTAATAAGACAAGTGTGTTGGTTTGCAATAGAGAATCAAGGATTTTTATTATGCTCAGTTTGGAAGGAGTACAAATGTAAATATGTAGAGTACAAAACCTTATATTTTATATTATTTTGCATGTATTTACAATTTTGCACTGTATATATTTACATTTGTATTCCTTCCAAATTGAGTCTATAATGCAATAACTTTGGCCCTAGTTCTTTCAGCTGACTTTGGATTTTTAAAAATAGAGGGATCGAAGAGTTCAAATTTGCTAATCACAACACATTATTAGCCTCATTGAGTTAAACCCGATTTCCTATCCATTACTTTCTACCCGCAGTCTATCTGCCGTGAATTGCATTGCCATTTTCAAATGTAAAAATATGGGGCTGCAATTCACTGTGGATAGGATGCGGGCAGAGAAACTTGCTAGAGACCCTTGCCAATTATTAAGGGTGTTTATTTTATCTATATAATATTTTACATATAATATTTATATAATAATTTTTTTTATTTTATATTAAAATAGTAAAACAAAAGTTTTAACTTTTAACTTTCTCTCTCTCTGACATATACATGCACATAAAAATTAGAAAAAAAAAAAACTTTGGAAGGGTAGCGGTGTTACTTGGATTAAGCCCAATAAAATCATAAAATGGCCCAAACCGAATCAGGAAATACATCCAATTGAAATAAAATGATTTAATATGGTTTAGTTTCAATATGAAAAGGGTTTGATATGGTCTGAAAATTTCTCAAACAGTAAGACTCAGTTTAGGAGTACAAATACAAATATATAGAGTGCAAAATCTTATGTTATATATAAGATTTTGGAAGGAGTACAAATACAAATACCTAAAGTGTAAAACCTTACTTTTTGTATTTATTTGTACTATACATATATTAAATGAATGATTACAGGCCAAAGCCTCCCCCCGTCAAACATGTGGCTCTCCACTATTCAGACACTTGTCATTCCAAAGATTTAAACAAAATGGACATGTGTCAAATTCTGATTAGTGGTAGTTCAAGAACAGAGCCCCACTTGGCATGTGTCAAATTTTGATTAATATTAGTTCAAGAAAAAAGCCCACTAACATGCAGAGTGGAGTCCACCACCATGTAGAGTTGTGAGAAGTGAGAAGCTCCCACTTTCAATCATTTCCTAAAAAATGGGAACTGTGCTATTAATTATTAATTACTGTTAATTACAAAACTAATTAATTAATTCCAGCTATTGATTACTAATAATAATTACTGTTAACTACTAATTAATTAATTACAACTATTAATTACTAATAATTATTATTGTTAATTACTAATTAATTACTATTAATTACTTCTAATTAATTAATTTCAACTATTAATTAATAATAATAATTATTCACATATAATAATTAATTACCAAAAATAATTTCTTATAACAATTACTGTTATTACTTAATTGCTGATAATAATTAATTAGTGATAATATTTCTCATTATTAATTCAAAAAAATAATTTATTATAATAATTATTGCTATTACATAATTAATGATAATTTATTACTAACAATATTGCTCATTATTAATTCAAAATGATAATTAATAAATATTTTCATAATGGTAAATAATAATTYGGAAATAATCATTTTATATTTATATTGACTAATATTAATTATTTTGAAAATAAATATTTAATGTTAATTATTTATATTATAATTATTATCAGAAATTATAATTCATAAATTTATATAAAATAATTAATTATATTATTATTATAAGTATTTATAATTAATAATATTATATTAATTAATATAATTATATTATTATCAATAATTATAATTAATTATTACTAATACTAATGATGATAATTATTACTTCGGAATGTTAATTAATTAATGAAAATTAGTAAGTATTTTAATAATTTTAATTATTAACTGGGATATAATCATTTTATATTAATATTAAATTCATATTAATTATTTCATAAATATATAATTATTGTTACTTATTTATAAAATTAATTATTGATTATAATTACTTACTGATAAATAATTCCTTAACTATAACAATGACAATTATTACTTTGAAATGTTAATTAATTAATGATAATTAATAAGTATTTTAATAATGTTAATTATTAATTGGGATATAATCATTTTATATTTATATTAATTCATTTTAGTTATTTTATAAATATATAATTAGTGTTACTTATTTACATTATTATTATTATTATAAGTAATTATAATTAATACTATTATTATTATCCAAAAAATATTTCATTTAGTGAAAGTTAAATTATAAACTTTCAATTATTCATTATTGTTAAACTAAAAGAATTATAAAGCAATTATTCTTTCAGGAATTAACAAAAAATCGTAATTATAACAAATTAATTACTTCATAATAAATATTACTACTACTACTACTACTACTAATAATAATAATAATAATAATAACAATTTAATATTACTGATTTCGAAATCAATACACACATAATAAGAATATCTTATTAGTAAATAATAATAATAATATATTTATTATTGTTATCATCATCATCATCACCATCATCATTATTATTATTTTATTACTGATAATTATTAATCTGTTTTACTCATTAAAGACATGGAATAAAAAATATTAAAATTAACACTAAATGAATGAATTAAAAATCTATGAGTATTCTAACCGACTTGAATTTGACACATCAACATATCCAAAATTATAATTTCAACCTACATTTCCTATTTCGATCTCCCAATTCCTATAATTCAAGCATACCATTAGGTTATGTACAAGTTTCTCTACCTTTTTCCAAAAGATATATTCTAGCAAATCTACGTGCACTGTGGGGAAATTAGACTTAAAATTCATAACCATGATTGATTAAAAGAAGCGTTACCACCTAACTTGGAGGTGACTTCCATACTTAGAATGGTCTCATTATTCTCCTTTCTTTCATGTTTCCCTTTTTGGATGGGCTTTGGAGTCCTAATTATATTATCTGTTGATTGTAGCGATACATGATGATGATTTGATTGTAGTCATATATTTTTCATCTCTTACTTCAAAGGATGGATGCATCTGCAAATGTTGTTTGGCATGGATTGTTTTTCTTAGCAATTTCTTTGAATGATTTTCATCCTTCTTTGCCTCTTTGAATAGATATCATTTAAATATTTTTTATCCATTCATATATCCCTAAATATTAAGTAGTATTGGAGTATTGGTGATATTGTTGTAAACACCCATCTAATTTTACTATTTTATAAATAGATTAATGATTTCAAAGTTATTGATATGTTTTTGGGGGTGGGTTGCTCAATAGGACATTGATTTTTTATTATTAAATAGTAAATTTCAAATTAAATGATATTGTAGTTGCCCCTTACTTAGTATGGGGTCATTGTCTAGATAAAACATGGTTAAGTCTCTTAAATCAAATAAAGAGCCGACCCTAAATGCCTATTATAAATAATTACAAAAATTGAAAAAAATCAAATTAAATCAAATAATTACTTGCAAAATATTTTTTCCAATTGAGTATAATTATTATATAATAGATTTGTTAATTCATATTTTGCAATTAAGAATAAACATTAATGATTTGGCTTAACAATTTTAATGATTGTTAATAAAAATTGATTCTTATTTAAGGTTTAATTAGTGTATTCAGTAATTATAATGGGGCATGTTTTGAATAAACATTAATGATAACTGATGATTGTTATTTTGTTTTTTATTATTTACTTAATTAAGTACTTGATAATTGTTATTATTATTAATTATTTTTATAAATAACTGATTGTTATTATTATTTACTTAATTGAGTAAATATTTAAATAATTACAAATTTAGGGTCCGTTTGGTTCGTAGTCGGAATCGGAATCGAAATCCTTCAGAATCGGAATGGTCCATTCTCATAGTCTGTTTGGTTCAGACAGGAATGGGAATGGAAATTAAAATTAGTGGGATTTTATTCCCAAGGGAGGGTCAGAGAATGGCCATTCCCTCAAATGGGGGAATGCGATTCCAACAAGAATGGGAATGGGATTCTGATTCTGCCCAACCAAACTGTTGAAATGGGAATAATTCATTCCAATTACGATTCTAGACCCCTATTCCTGCAAACCAAACAGACACTTAGTTAATATTATTACTATATAACAAAAATTTTAAATTAAATAATAAAATAAATTAATAATAAGAATAAGAATGGTTAAATTAAAGTAATAAACAGTTCAAATTGAACTTAGTAACCCGTATAATTTTACAAATTTGGCATATAAGAGTCAATTTATGTGAACTTGTAGACTGTATAAATGTCTTAAAAAATGACAGCTTATAAAATAATAGAAAATAGTAATAAAAACTATTTATATTTATTCATATATATATATATATATATATATATATATATAATTAACTTCCAAACTGCATTTGTACTCCTTCCAAACTGAGCGTAATTTGCTAAAAAAATTGGAACGGAAGAGTTAATTGTGGATGTCGCATTAATTGCTACTGTGGTCACAGAAAAACTTTAGAGACCCCTGTTGAAAAATAAACAAGCTACTCTTTACAATAAATTCAAGATGCATTACAATTAATTGATTTTTATCATTTTTTTATTGCAAATTGTAGCGCGTTCACATTCAAGGTCGGCCAATTGTTCAGCGACCGTGGTCGCAGATAATGTTTCTCGTTATTGTCGATCCATCGCCCGTTCGAACACTGTTCGAATTGTTTGAGCGGACTTTGCATCGACTGAATCCCAATCCCGCATCAAAGTTTTTTGGACAACAACATCCAAATTCCAAACAGGCCAGAAAATATGTGTGAAAGGAGAAATCGCCTTCAATGATTCTTCACTTTTATCAATCACTAGCGCCACTACCGTCACCTTCGGTTTCTTCAACAACCCAATTCTCGAGGTCCCCACCACTCCATCCCTCCAAATTCTGGGCTGTCTGCTTCTATAAATCCAGATCACTCCAGCCGTAACACCATACTTTCACGATAACCCTCTCTCTCTCTCTCTCTCTCTCTCTCTCTCTCTCTCTCTCTCTCTCACAGAAGATATGGGTTTCTCATTGGGAGAAGGCATTGTTTTTGCCTTCCTTCTACTGGGTTTAGAGATTCAGAGCGGTTATTGTTCACAGGTTACCCAGATTAACAGAGCAAGTTTTCCAAAAGGTTTCGTTTTTGGCACTGCTTCTTCAGCTTACCAGGTTGGTTTCATCTCATGTCTTTTTTTCTTTCATTCACTATTTGTTCCGTTCACTCATCTGATTCGCTATATATCTGTTCAGTGTCGGGCATTCGTTATATCTAAAACATTTCTGGTTTTTGAACTCCTTCAAAGATTATTAGTCGAATTCATCACTACTTAAAAAGTTAAAAGAACTACCGTAGTTTCATCATCCATGTAAACTCTTAATTTTTTTTTTTTTTTGTTTCTTTAAATATTAATCAATCTGTGGTTTGATTGTTATATTCCGTAACCTACTCCATCTTCACCTGAAAGTCCGCCACGATTGGGGTTTGAGAGAACTGGATTATAGGTTTCTAGCTCCAACTAATTTATTCATGGGTAGAATTCGGAAGGCCATCTAAATGAAAAGGAAACATCTTTAGAGAAACGGTTTATTGAAAAATGAAAACAGGTAAAAAGAATTAAGTGGTTAATTTCTAGTGGGTGAAATTTAGAGGACTATTTTACATCTCATTCTATTCTATTAGTTTATTTTTGGAAATGAAGATCAATAGACCACATTTAGTTTTCAAAATAACAAAATTTAATTACCAAAAAAAAAGATAAATAAACCAATAATAATTGAGACAATTGTTTTCTTGTGCTGAATTCTTGTTCTGGGTCCCTAAGTCCCTATGACTTCATTGACTTGCCATTAGATGGGTCCACAGTCCACTCAGGAGATTGGCTGGGCCGAAACCCGAAATTCGGTTTGATTGTTATTTGACTTATTTGTTACTTGAGGCCCATTCATTTCGTGGATTTTGATTTTCTTTTTCTTTCCTTATTCGGTTTGAATTTGAATCCTCCAAAGATTACATCCATGAAAATTTAACCAGCGACCGAGTCCAAAACGCTTTCTTATCAGAGGTCAAACAAAGGTCTGAAATCGTCTTCGTCAGTAGGAATTTTTATACTTTATCCACTCACCCACCCATTTGAATCAACCTTTTTTATTCTCAAGTCCTAACTCCTAAACCTATCAAAAATTCCCCGGATTCGGATGAAGTAGAATCCGGAAAGATACGGTTCCACTTTTATCAGATTTGGATCAGTTCTCCATTATTTGGAATGTTGATCTATAGTTTCCCATTTTATATTTGAACGAGTATGGTTTATTATATCTTCATGTTAAAAAATATTTATTTACATTTGCTTTTGTTTTGATATATTCAGTACGAAGGAGCCGTGGAGGAGGATGGCAGAGGAAAAACCGTGTGGGACACTTTTGCCCATTCATTCGGTAATTCTTTTTTGCCAAGGAAAATAATTAATTTGATCACCTCTCTTCATGCATCTCTGCAGTTGGTTTCAAATATCATTTGAATCTCTCGTGGGGCTTGCATGGTGAAGGTGGAGGCCACATGATTAATTACATGTGGCGTTAGTATAATAATAATATAGTATTTTCTTTCTTTCCATTTTATTTTAGTTATGTTTGCATTTTGATAAGTCATTTATCTAGGTAAATGCACTTCTTTGAAAAACATTTATCCGAATAAGTGTATTTATTAATATTTTTTTATTCTCTAAGTAAACTTGTATAATGACTATTTTATCCAAACAAAAGTAACATTATTGAAGGAATAATATTATCTCATCATGTATTATCAATTTTTCAAGCAGATCAGTAATTGATTTATCTAAAGTCTTGCGAGTAAGTTGGTAAGTCCTACAAAAAAGAAATAAATCCATATTTATTTTCAGTATTAATGGGTTCCTTGAAAAAGATTGGTTCCTAAACGACCCAATTACTTGGGAAAGTAATACTCTCTTCTCAAATTTGAATTATTTATCCATGTGATGCATGCCAAAACTCACATACATGACGGGATAATTTTGTCTTTTCAATAATGTCACTTTTTTTGATACATCAGTCATTATACCTTTATGCTAGGAATAAAAGAACAATAAATAAGTACTCTTATCTAGGTAATTTTTTTTTTCTAAAATACACTTAATCGGATAGATGCATTTGTCCATATAAACCATTTATCTAGATGCAAATGAAAGTCTTAGACGAACTGCTTGTGAATTGTTCTTTTTGTGGGATCCACTGTTATTGAAACATGAACGTGAACTTTTTCACTCCATTTCCCCAAAAGATGAATAAGGCCTTCATCAACATGAATCATCTTAATTAGGCTATGTTTGGTTTGAAAGAAAAGGTAGAGAAAGGAAACGAAAGACAAGAAAACCTATACAAGGTTTGTTAAGGTTTCTCTAGTGAGCATTAAATAAATATGCTGACAGTTGTATTAAAAAATTGATTTTCCAAAGGTAGCTTCGGTGATTTTAAGTGACAAGTATGAGAAAATTTATTGGTTGTAGCCTGTAGGATTTATTTCCCGTTTGACGATCCAATATGATCTGACCTGACAATACTGTCTGTGTGATGGAAGAAGAGTTATGAGGTCTGGATAATGGCTTTAAAAAGGATTGTTAGAGAAGTCCAGGTTGCAGGCTTGCAGCTGCACAGATATCGTGGGCCGGGTTAAATGGTCAAACTACGTTCTTACACTCAACCCGTCAGATCAGCCTTAATTTGGAATTTGGTTATAACAGTGTTTTTAACCCGCCATTTATATGGTTGGTCAAATTGTCACCTGGCCAAGATTTAAGGTTCGGTTCAGTTAAGACTTCCATTATATGATAAAAATTATTGACTTGGTTAAAAACTGTTTGATCTGATCGATTCAATTATTGATCCATTCGACCCGGTCACCTGGTCGTGGGTTATACATTCAATGTTTACAAATTTTTAGAAGTCATAACTTTACATTTTGATGTCTAATTTAGGTATTTTTTTTATTTTGAGTAATTTATCAAGATCTAAATGTCTGAAGGGGCTGTAGGTGCTTTGCCCCACTATTTTTGCAAAAAAAAAAACTTTTTTTTGGCCTCAAATTACAATTTTTAATATTTTTATAAATAAAAAATTAAAAACTGATTTAAAAAATATAAACTAAATATAAAATACATATAACATATCTAAAACATATTTATTGATTATATATATATACTTAATACATATATATATGATGACATGGAATAGATTAAACCATTTAACCTAACTCATAGAATCAGTGTAATAGTGTTCATGAGGCGGAGTGAGTCGGGTTTGGTAATCTCATCCGAATGAGTCAATGCACGCCTCATAGAATCTAGGCAGTCTAACCAGTGAACCAGCCTGACGGGTTAGACTGTTTCACTATGTGAACCATGGTTGAATCATTTAACCTTATCTGAATTCTGCCGGATTGTGGAGATCAACCAATTTATTGTTGGGGTTTTTATTGTTTCGGACCTTTGGTCCATTCAACAAATCTTATCTTAGCTCCACGTAGAATTTGGTGGGTATCAGTTCAGAATTGATGTTAATACATACACGGGTATTGATGTTATAGGTGGGGTCACGGAGGTATTTGAGAAGATGAAATTGGAATTTTTGAACTGCACTCCCTCTCAAAAATCTTTTTTACAGTCCCCTCATAAAAACCCCGAAGAAATTTTGAACTATTATAAATCTGGACTGAAATTTAAAATTCTGAGGTAAGTGTAGTATAGTTTTTACTTTTTACTTTATTGTTTCACTCTGATTCATCACACACCATGTTGGTATAGGTAAAATAGCTGATTTCAGCAATGCAGATGTTGCAGTTGATCAGTACCATCGCTTTAACGTGAGTATCCTCTTTTCCCTCTTCGATGCTATTATATACAATTATAATATTTGTTGCTAATGTAACATCACTACATGTATGCAATGCGATGTAAAATGGGAGTATAGGAGGATATACAGCTTATGAAAGATATGGGAATGGATGTTTATCGCTTTTCCATCGCTTGGTCTCGGATCTTCCCAAGTGAGTTAATTCATCCTATTAATCTAGCTAACTCCTTATTTTACAAAGAAAGAAAAACCTTGTATATATATATATATATATATATATATCTAAATGGTGATTAAGGTTTTCTTTTTTGTGTTATTTGGTCTTATGAATAGACGGGAGTGGAGAAATAAACCAGGCCGGAGTCGACCATTATAATAATCTCATCAACGCCTTGCTAGCCAAAGGTACACTCACACCCAAATTGATTAAGAAATGCAACCAATTCTGTTCTGGTATCTAAACCAAAGACATGTGGGATTGCATATTGCAGGAATTGAACCATATATAACCCTTTATCACTGGGACCTTCCCCAAGCCTTGGCTGACAAATACAAGGGATGGCTCGACCCCCAAATCATGTACGTATCTCTACTTGATCTTCCCTTCTTCTTTTCTTTTCTTTGCTTGTGTTTTTCGTTCTTCCCATTATTATTACTTGTGATGAAATGGCCCAAGTATCTTCCCTCATATCGACCTAAATGACCAAAAAAACAGAAAGGATTTTACGGTATACGCAGAGACATGCTTTCAGAAGTTCGGGGACCGAGTGAAGCATTGGATTACTTTCAATGAGCCACACACATTTGCCATCCAAGGCTATGATGTGGGTCTCCAGGCACCGGGGCGGTGCTCAATTCTTCTTCGGCTCTTCTGTCGAGCCGGCAACTCAGCAACCGAGCCCTACATTGTTGGCCACCACGTTCTCCTTTCTCATGCAACCGTGGCTGACATCTACCGCAAGAAATACAAGGTAAATCACTAAGTTCAATTCCAAATTACAATCCAAATACTAGAGTAACCAAATCAATGACTCCAGATCTTCTGCCCACATAATATCGCAACTACACATAGGGAATATCTCATTCACCTACATAGTATTATACACAGGAAAATGTTACTAGTGCACAGAGATTGTGTGTTGTAAATAGATTCGGACTCTAAACAAACTGCTTTCTCATAATGGTAACATAGCCCCAAATGGAATTGGGCTCCTGGCCCTGATTTATAAGAATCAATGGGCCACTGGCCCAACCCTGCTGCATTTATTAAGCTTAGGCCGAACACTCAACACAGCCCACAATTAGCTTGGTCACATTCACAGACAGATTGAGTTATTTTGGATGCTTACTTTAGACTCTTATATATTTACAGCAAAAACAACATGGTTCAGTGGGGATAGCGTTCGATGTTATGTGGTTCGAACCGATGACAGACTCTGCCAAGGACATTGAAGCAGCACAGAGAGCTCAAGATTTTCAGTTTGGCTGGTAATTTTATATGGCTAAGAGTTATGTGGAAAAAAATATTGGTTCACTAATAAATAATCTAAGTAATTGTTACTCAGGTTTATGGAACCACTGTTTTATGGGGAATATCCAAGCTCAATGAGGAGTAGAGTTGGAAGCCGGTTGCCAATATTTTCTAAAGCTGAGGCTGCATTAGTTAAAGGGTCTTTGGACTTTGTGGGTATAAATCACTACACCACGTATTACGCTAAAGACAACTCAACTAATATAGTCGGTTTTGTACTGAACGACTCCTTGGCAGATTCTGGTGCTATTACACTTCGTATGTCCTTAATTACTTATTTCACTCGCTTTTCTTACTCTGTTATTTCCTTTTATTCCTTTTCATAACAACAGATATATATATATATTAAGGGTCTGTTTGGTTTGCAGCAGGAATTAGAATCAGAAGCAGAATTGAAATCTTTTGGAATCAGAATTTGAATTTAGAATGATCTATTCCTGTAGTCTGTTTAGTTCAAACAGGAATGGGAATGAAAATTGGAATTAGATGGAATGAGATTTCATTACCAAGTAGACCTTTTCATGGGCTGGTAACCCGACGGGGTGGCACGGACCAACCCGTTATAAGTTGGGCTTGGTCATAATTTTAGACCTGCGGGCTCAGGCTCGGGCCTAAAGCACTAGGCCCGACTTTTTAGGGCTGGGCTTAGGCTTTCTCAAAAAAGCCTGGGCCAAGCCCAAGCCTGACTTGATACTATATAATATTAAATAATAAAAATATATTTTATTTAATAAAAAATATATATACAATATTTTTTCTTTGTTCTTCTTCTCTTTTTCTCCAAATAATAGTGAGATGTTTATTATTTTTTAAGTTTTGAAGGTTTTAATAAAAATGAAACACTTTTTTATTGAATAAAAAAATAAAAATAAAATATTTTCAAATTTATGGCTTGGCTCGGACTCAAGACCTAGGCCCAATGGTTGGGCCGGGTTCGGGCTCAGGTCTAAGTGTATTCTATTGGTACATATGCAAAGCCCGGCTCGGCCTATGAACAGGTCTATTCCCAAGGGAGGGACAGCGAATGACCATTCCCTCAAATAGGGGAATGTCATTCCAGCAGAAATAGGAATGAGATTCCAATTCCGCTCAATCAAATAGTTTGAATAGGAATAGCCCATTCCAATTCTGAATCTAAACCCGTATTCTCACGAACCAAACAGGGCCTAAGTGCATGTCTTGGTTTATTTATAATGTAACTTCATTACTGACTCAGTTTGAAAAGAGTATAAATGGTACAACAGAGAGTGCAAATGAGTATTTCATATTCTGATTAACTTTTGGTTCTGGGTGTGCTCTGCTTTGCTGCAGGTTTCATTTAAAATTTAAATCAAACTTATATTTGTATTCCCGTAGTGTTGGACCAATGTAAATAAAATTGCACTGGAAACAAACTAGGCCTAATAGTCGTTTTTTACCAAACTTGGAAGTTAGAACCTGACTAACATTGTTATTTCCTCCTTTCCAGCATGGAAGTCTGGGAAAGCAATAGGAGACCGGGTAAACTAAACGAGTATTTATTGTTAATTATCAGAGCTTAGATGCTTAAACACTAGACATATAAATTTCTAATTACATACTTGGTGAATGCAGGCATCTTCTGTATGGTTGTACATTGTGCCAGAGGGAATCAGAAAATTGATGAACTACATCAAGATAAAGTATGGAAATCCTACTGTCATTATCACTGAAAATGGTAATAATTTTGTCTTAATTAAATACATCGAGACAATGGAACTTAAGGCTTTTCTATTTTATTTACGTTTGACGTTTGTTTATTTATTTTTGGTTTTGCAGGGATGGACGATGCAAATAATCCCTTAATCTCCATCAAAGATGCTCTTAAGGATGAGAAAAGGATCAAATATCACAACGACTACCTCACAAACTTGCTTGCTTCTATTAAGTATGTAATCAACTACTTAATTAATTATGGCAGGCAATTAGGTTCAACCAAATAGGGGCCGGGTTAAGCCATAATCTGATAATCACACCAAAACCAACCTGACTCGAGTGGCGGGCCCCTCCCCACGATCTATGGAGTTTATATTACTGCTCCCCTTTATTCCCACTAATCCTGTCTTAAAGCCTCGTAGCATTATTAATTGCTACGCCATGGGAGTGCTTAAAAATAAGTATTTATTTGGGCCATTGGGTAATTTATTCGTATTTAAGAAATAAGTCCAAAATAAGTGTTTATTTTCAAAAATAAGGATTTATTTTTTAAGTCCAAATTTTTAGTTTTTTTTCAAGTATTTATACAACAAGCACTTACTCAATTTTTTTCTCAAAATTATTCCTAGTTGAGCTTTATAAAAGTATTTTTAATCAAAGCATTCTTACGAAAGCACTTTTAAGAAAGTATTTTTATGAAAGCATTTTTACAAAAGTACTTTGAAGAAAGTGATTTTATGAAAGCACTTTTAAGAAAGTACTTTTATGAAATCAATTTTATAAAAGCACTTTATAAAAGTTTTTTTACAAAAGCACTTTTCTAAAAGTACTTTTATGAAAGCAACAAAAACATTTATATAAAAGTACTTTTACATGCCTTCATAAAAATTCTTTCGTAAGGGTACTTTTTTAAAAGTGCTTTTATAAAAGTGCTTTCAAAAGGTATATTTTGAAAATTTGAAAGAAAAAGAAGGACAAAATAGTTACAAATGCTTATTTAAGTGCTTATTAGAGAAAAAGACTACCAAACACTCAATATAAAATAAGTGCTTATTTTAAACAATAAATACTTCAAAAAATTAGGCCGCAAATGCAAATAAATACTTATTCAAATAAACACTTATTTTTAATTTAAACACTCCCAAACATGACCTTAATGACTCAAGCCCAGTTCAACCTAAAGCAAATTAGATTCGTACCAAAATAGGTAAAGGTAGAAAATTCTAGTTGTTGGTAGTCCAGATTTCCTCATTGAGCATTCACACCAACCTCATAACATATTTTAGCCGTGCATGGGTTGGAGAAAATCTAGATTTGGTTGTTGGAGGCCAATACATCAACCCATACAGTCTCCTATTTGTCTTTTTAATCAAAATAGACTAAGGACAATTATTCTTTTTGTCAACACCCAATATAAAGACTCATGTCCAAAAGGACCAAAACTATTATTGTTATTCCCAAATCCCAACTGCCAAAGTTTTTCCGGGTAAAGATTTGTCTTTGTTGGTCAGATTATTGGCTTACATCATTGCAACTATTAGGTCCATTCGTTTCATAGAATAGAGATCTGAAATCATAATGGAAATGAGAATCTCGTTCTTATTCCAATTTAATTGGGCAAAATCCAAATCTCATTCCCATCTTAAAAATGAAAATCCATTCCAAGTAACTTAGATTTTAATTCCAGTTCCTGTGGACTGGAATTGTGAACCAAATAGATAATAGGTGAAGGGAATAGACCATTCCAATTGTAAACCAAACAGACCCTTATTATTGACATGGTTTGAGATAATTTGGGGTTTGGGCAGTCATTCAACAATCTGTGCTGCCAAGGGTCTGTACTGTCGCATTAACAGTATCGGATGCATCTCCGAGTGAGTTAACGTTGTCAGCTGGAGAGCGCCTATGGATAGCCCATGCTGTGGAATTTGGACAGCCAAAATGTTCTTTCTCTTTTCATGCATGCTTTTCTCTCTCTCTAACACCCCTCTGTTTTGAATAATGCAGGGAAGATGGGTGTAATGTGAAAGGATATTTTGTGTGGTCGCTATTGGATAATTGGGAATGGACAGCAGGCTACAAATCTAGGTTTGGTGTCTATTTTGTGGACTACAAGGACAATCTCAAGCGATACCCCAAAGATTCTGTTCAGTGGTTCAAAAGTTTCTTAACGTCCACTTAAAGTGACAAGGGAACCAGGGGACCGGGCGTCTGGTCCGACTGGCATTGTTCCTCGTTCAAAGGTGAATGGTGCAAAAATTAAAAAAAAACAAGGGGTGCCTAAAGAATAATTGTGGCATTTGATAATCTGTTTTTAAAGAATAAAATTTCTCTAAAAAATAAGTGTAGCGTTTGGATAATATTGATAATTTTTAGGGGGCATTCTTTTTTTAGATTTTGAGAGGAGGGTAGTTGGTGAATGGGATTTTGATTTCCATTGATCAAGAATTCTCTGTTCTTTTTTTATATTTATGTGGGCACTAGAGAAAGTGTGATACCCATCTCCTAGATGAGTAAATAACTTTCCCACCTTGAGAAAAAGTTGACAACACTTGAATGGAACAAAAATACCCCTTGTAATAATAGATTTTTATGGTTAAAATAGTCATTGTCTTATTTACATGGAAGATAAAATAACATGGATAAATACACTTACTTGGATAAGTCTTTCCTAGAAAACACTTACCTGGATAAGTGCATTTATCCGATTAAATAATTTACCAAAAAACGAATAGGGCCTTAAGATTAATTGTTCAATTTCATATACACAGACAGATTGTTGTTAGAAGGACCCTCCTAGTTGCTTCTAAAGAAAATAGAAAAAGAAATTGGATTTTCGTTTACAAGCACTTGAATACATATATAGATTTTTTTTTTTTTTGTTTTTTTGCTGCAAGAATACATATATTGATAGGTGTACTTCATTTAGTAAAAATCTCAAACTTGTTTAACATTTTTGTATATTTCACTGATAAATAACTGAATCACAAGCTTGTTTGAAAATCCCATACTTTATTAATAAAAATCCCAAATCTGTTTAACATTTTCGTATACAAACACTGTTTTGGGTTGTTCAAACGATGGGCTATCATTATGTAATCAAATCAGAAACATAAATGACTGAACCACAAATACGACATTTCACTGGTTGAACCACTAAATTCATATTAACGTGCATCTCACCCTTAACGTTTGACATGGTTGAAGTCTTGAAGACGATTGGTGGGTTCACGCGTCCGGTGCACAGAATGCGGACTCAAGAAAAGTGGAAAACCACAAACCTAATTGTCTAAAACTGAGTAATGGCAAGTGAAGTTCGATTCCGATTTCAAGAGTGCCACAGAGGAGTTTCCTGTGGAGAAACGAAAGCCAGAGAAAGGAGTTCACCGTGGTTGTTTTTCTCTAATATATGTGTGCGGTGGTAGGAAAAAAGGAACAAAATCAGAGAGAGAGAGAGAATTACTCTCAAAATAATAATAATAAGAGTAATTTATAAAGACCCCCCGTACTATGGGTCTGCGACAAAGACCCCTGTATTTTATTTGCTACAAAGATCCCCCGTACTATGATCGTGAGACAAAGAGCCCTTTGTTTTGTACCCCCCGTACTACCCTTGTAACTGTTCATCTTCCCCAACCTCACCACACGAACAGCAGCAGCGGCTAACAGTAACAGGGGGTCTTTATTTGAAGTCTCCAAATAAATTTCTCCTTGCTCTGTTCTGTTTAGGGATTTCGGCTCGCTTCTCTTCGTACTCCATTAACAAACACTTTCCTCCCACAGCCAAGATTAGATTCCTTGCTCCGCTGAGACTGTTAAGATTTTTCGTTTCCTTATTTATAGTTTACCTCTACACGATGTCTTATTTTTCCTTATTTTTTCCCTTTTTATTTACTTTCCGTTTGTTAATAATGGATCAAAACACTAACAAGTCAAGAGCCACGCAGAGCCTCGTTCTTTGTGATTTCTGCAATGAAGAGATCACTGTTCTATATTGCAGAGCTGACTCTGCTAAGCTATGCTTGTTCTGCGACCAACATGTCCACTCCGCTAACGCCTTATCCCGTAAGCACCTCCGTTCTCAGATCTGCGATAATTGCTCTTCCCAACCCGTCTCTGTCCGCTGCTCCACCGATCATCTCGTTCTTTGCCAAGATTGCGACTGGGACGCCCATGTCAGCCGCTCGCTGTCCACCACACACGAGTGTTGCCCGGTTGAAGGGTTCTCTGGCTGCCCTTCGGCACTTGAACTCGATTCTATTTGGGGGTTCGATCTTGCCGACAAGAAGTATGCCATGCAACTGCCGCAATCGCGGGTTCCGTAGATGGGTAGTGACAATTTCATGATGTTCCCGAATTGGGGTCCCTTGAATTCGGGTTTCGGATGATTCTTGGGTGTACAAGTCTGCTGCAATGACTCTTTAGGATCTGATGCTGCCCAGTGAGAATGGTAACAGCGGTACTTCCATGTATCCGAGTGTTCCTAGTGCCAAGATTCCGTTGTTTGTCGAAGAGGCTGAGTTCTAGTTGCGGCAAACAGACCAAAGTGATATTTAAGCAGTTTGTGGAGCTGCTTAAGCGGGATCCGGTACGCAGTGACGGAGGGGGAGGCGGTGATGAACTGGGTCCTGGGACACCTGCCCAACAGAGCAATATGGAAGATCTGGAGTTGCCTGATGGAGGTGATGGAGCTACAGATACCACTCAATTGTTGCATCAGCAAACACCATTTACGTCTTTGCTTATGTTGTCTACTCGGATAGATCTAAGAGAGAACAACAATCGTCTCATCGAAGATAATATTCCATGGGACTGCAACCCCTCTGACTAGGCAGCGCAGGTGTAATCTCATGCTCTTGTTAACTCGTCATCTGTTACGAGTTCCAGTGATACTTGGCTTGCTTTATTATCTTCTGTTTTTCTATAATCGTTCATTCCCTGATTTAACTATTGGGTTCTTGAATAATTAGTAAATTTTCCTCTCTCTCTCTCTCCTCCTCTTCTCCTCTTTGCTGGCCTCCCATAGAATGAAGAATTTACAAAAAAAAATATAAATAAATAAAGGAGAAAAGAGAAACGAAAACAAGTATCAGGAGGAAAAACTAAAATTTTCTTATCGAACCTATGGTAGATGCTAGAAACATGGTTATATGGTGAATGTAATTTGTTTCTTTTTTTCTTTCCATTAGCGAGTTGTGGCGGTTATGGCCGACAGGAACAGAAAAAGAGGAAAGCAAGAAGAAGAAAGGGGAGGAGAAAAGGAGGAAGGGGAAGAAGAGAAATTGGAGGAGAGAATGGAAGAGAGAGAGAGAAATGTGAAGGAATATAAGATAGAAGGGATTACGGCGACTGCTGTTCGTATATGAGGTCAGGGAAGATGAACAGTTATAAGGGTAGTATAGGGATTAAAAAATATTATAATGGCGGATTTCAATAGAAAGGGGTCTTTGTACCACAATCATAGTATAGGGGGGTCTTTATAATTTATCCTAATAATAATAATAATAATAATAGAGAAAAAAGTTCAATTCAGCTAGGACTTTCTTTTGCTTCTTTTAGTGAAATTATCAAGTTGCCCCTGTTTTCATGTGGGAACTGCGTGTTCCAAAAAAAAACTTTGTTCTTGCAAAGTGTCATATTCATCACTCCAAAAATAAATGTGTTCCCGACACATCATTCCAATAGGTTGTTCGGGATGTAAATATCGGACCAAACATGTTTCTGTTTTGAGAGTGGTGTCTAATTCCGTTCTAAGTTCTAATTCTCACTGATAATCATGTTTATGTAATGTGGAAATGTGGGAATGTGAAAAACACTCTCACGGAACGATACCAAATGGGATCTACGTTTTAAATAATAAACCCCTAAACCTTACAATTCACAATGGAAATGCATTTAGTCGAACATATATTCTCCGACTGGTAGGAACCAAGCATTGTCCTTATCATCTATCGTGAATAGGATTATTTCCACTTTTATAAAATGAGCAGAATCCTTAGCTCAGAACTATTACTTGCACTGATCACATGGCTAATTCAAGGAAATTTCAAGTGGGTTCCACATTTTTTCTTCATGATTTAAAACAGTTAAAGCCTATTCATCTTATTTTTTACTCTCATATTTCTTGGAGTAGGCCCTAGATATTAGGGGCTCGGTCACTGCAATGCCCATTAGAACAGCCTTGTATTGGGAATATCTCTGTATTTATGTACTTTAATTTATGGGGAGATATTCCCAATACAAAAGGCTGTTTGAACAGTGTGAGCACAAACTTGCATTGACTAAGCCGAACTCAGATATTACATCAGTGATATGTAGGGGTGTCAATGGATCCGTTTCCGGTTGGACTCTGTCCAATCCAAAGGTATTATGGACATATTGGACGGTCCAAATAATTGTATGGACTCAGACCAGTCCAAATTTGAGTGGTCCATATACAATGCGGACCAAATTTGAACAAAACTGCTGAATGAATGGTTCGTTCATTCCTTTGAAGTTTTTTTCAAAATTTTCTTCTAAGACCCAACTAGCGGTGCTCTACGCCTCCACCGCTCACTCCAACAATTGAACGAAGAAGAAGGTTTCTCTCCGGCGGTGGTATCTCTCCAGTTGTTTTTTCTCGTCTCTCTCTAGCGAATAGCGTATTAAGGGGTATTTCTCCGGCGACCTGCGACCCTTTGTATCTCTATCTCCCTGGAGCGTCCAACCACTCTCTCTACAATCTCTGCTGTGGAATCACTTTTTCCCACATCCAATAGCTGTTCCTCACTATTTGTTTCAGGGAAAAGCTTTTCTTCATCACCAATGGAAAAGAGACAAGGGAGATGCAATGGCGGCCGACGATTGACAAACAACGGTTCCAATAGCTCCAATGTTGCCTGCATTGCTTTTTTTTCTTCACCTCTAATGGAAATAGAGTAGATCTGTCTTTCCGACATTGCAAAACAAGGCCAGAGTTTTTTTTTTTACCACTGCTGCAACGATAACCAATGACTGATATTGGGTTCATGTTGCCTCTCTGGTCTTTCGGCCATTACAGAACACAGATGATATTTTGTTTGTTTTTTCATAGTTGCAGCGACAGCCGGCAACGGAGGTTCAAGATCTGATCTGATGCGAACCCAGATCTATGTTCTCCCAAACCTTCTCACTAGGCACCACTTCTCAATCAGTTCTCTGGTGCTTCCACCATTGTAGAGCACCATTTGTTTTTTTTTTTTTTTTGCAATTTATACAATTTCATGTATTTTTATTTGTAATTTTTGTTTTTCTATATTTTTTGTTGTTTTTTATAATCTCCATTATTTTTATGATATTTCTTATAATTTCTTTTTTTTTTTGCTTTTTTGTACTTTTTTGCAACTTCTATAATTTTTTTTTGCAATTTT